ATCCTTGGCCAATGTGCACTCTTAAGTAGAAAAAGAATTTTCAACTTATATTGACATAATAGTGGGATGAAAGATATAATCGATAATTGATATTGACACACATCCATATCACGTAATTGATCGGATCATATTGATGAATGGATTATAGTTTTGCGATAAATTAACAAATTTTGTTTTGTCATACCACGTGACATTTTTCGTTACATATATTGCTCGACACATTATTAGATGTCCATCTGTGACGATGAATGTGAATTGGTGATAAATTAGAAGGGGCACTTTAATTTATCGATTTTGAATAAATCAAAATAATAATTCATGTCATTAGGTATTGTGATCGGGAGCTTAATGGATCACACATAGAAGGAGAACCGGAAGAATGAGATTCGTTAATTAATTAATTAACAAGCGTTGGACAATTAATTAATTGAGTTGCTTGTTAATAGGCTCGAATTATTTAATAGATTAATTAATTTATGGACCAAATTTAATTAATTGAATTAATTAAATATTGGACTGGGTTACGTTTAAAAAAGGGACCCAACTCGCTTGAACTTATATTAATAAGTCACTAGGGTTTCAAAAAAATCGAATAGAACATAATTCATATTCTTACTAGCACAAGAAAAAATAAACCCTAATTTTCTTCTTTTTATTCCCTGTGTAGATTTTCACTGGAGGTTGGACAGCTGTGAATTGCAGATCATGGTTGTTCGTGTTCCAATATTAGTAAAAGAGTTTGTAGAATCTATAAAAGGTACAGTTTCTATCACAGTTTTTTTCCAAATACAAATAAGATTTTTTGTGGGAATTGAAATTTGTTTTATTTTTCATTACACATGTTAAGTAAATTCCCAACATTTATAGCATTCTTCACGAGCTTTTGACTATCTTGTAATGTAAGGACAAGGGCACAAAACATTTCAATTTCTCCCAAGTTGAAAGCATGTTCGACTAAGATTATTAGTATTTGTAGAGTTTTTGGGGCTTATTTCGAGCAATGGGCATGCTATACCAAAAAAGCTACTTATAATCTTCATTAAACATGACTTTTCTACATTACTCATTAAGCCCATATTTGATTAAATCAAAGTCAACAATTAATTTTAACCACATATTTCATGGAACTCACAACTTTTCAACTACATATTTTATCAACTTTTATCAAAATATGCTAAAATTTTGATTTTAATCCCCTGATTGAGCTAAGTATTCCATGTGCCAGTGTGTTCACGAGACACGTGGTGACCCAAAACTAGAAAAAAAAAAAAAAACATCAACAACAAAACAACAAAAGAAAAAAAAAGTTTCATCAACAACTTGAGTTGAATCCTAATGTCGAAGTACGCAACTAATTCATAATAATTTAGAAACTGAAGTTATAAGTAAAAATATTAAGCTTAGCCAAACTAGCCATTTTGCAAGATTGAATTGGATGGCTCTTGATCCCTTAATGTTTTATGTTCCAAACACCTTCCTATGAGAAAGTCACGCCCTTTATGTCTGTTAGGTTTTTTGATACCCAATAAATCCGGGTAATGATTTAAAACAGTTGTCGAATTATTTAACGACACCATAGACTTGGCTCGACACGAAAACGACCTATACTTTTGGATGGCCCAAGTTTGGGTTGGATGGTAATAGGTATTAGCCCATTTAGTTGGTTAGTTGTGGGAATTAATTGGTAGCCCATTAGTGATATCTTTGGCCCATTTTGGATAGGAGTGTTTGGCCCAATTGAGTAACCTATTTTGTGTCCCATATATGTTGGTGTTCCAGCCGTGTGTTAGTGTGTGCGAGAGTGGAGAGAAGAGAGGTAAAGCAGCCGTGGGTTGTGAGGATGAGAGGCAACCGGGTTTGGTGAATTTCTTGGTGAGTTCCAACCATTGTTTCTACTCTTCTTCTTCCTCCCTATGTGGGCTTGCAATCACCACCACCATATCTCCTTTGTGGGATGAAATCTTGGTGCAATCAAGTGTAGGAGTTTTGGGTTGAGCTTGAAGCTGTGTGGTGTCGTTTAGTTGTTTTCTGAGCCCGATTTTGGTTTATTGAAGCCCCGCACGTGGTGCAGGTTTTCGGCGTTGACTTCTTCAGGCAGTTTTTTGGGGACATCGAGACGGTCCCAACGGTGTTGACGGATTTCAGTTTGGGGTACTACGGTGAAAGTTAGACGAGTTTACGTTTGGACGTTCGGGCGCCGAGTGCCGTTTCGTGTTGATGGAAGCTTTGGGACGGATTGCGGTAGTCCCAAAGTGGTGAATTCGCATCTCTCGATATTTACGGACCTTCAGACGTGGTCCGCTCGGTATCGTATTATTTGCTTTTTATTATTGCAGTTAAAATTATTGTGTAGAATAATTTATTTTTCGCATTTGAAGCCATCGTGTGAAGTGACGTTAGGTTTGGGGTTACCGTGAAGGGGTAACAATTGCCTGATGCTAGACCTATGAATTACTTGTTAATTATTTGCGTTAAATTCTTCGTGAATTTGTTGTCGATTTATTTTTCATTATTTAGAATTGCACGTGACCTTAGGAAAGTTTACTTGACTATTCTATGTGAATTGTGTCGGTACTTTACTTGTGGTCGTTATTGGTTGTATTTTGTGTTTTGTGCATTTTTTAGGTAAAATGACGACACATTATGAGTTGTGCATGTTTTAATGAAAAATATGATATTTTAATTTGGCAAATGTGGTCTAAGGTAAGTGCGAAAAGTAATATGTGTTTTAACTGCAGTTATTTAGACATTGTTGAAATAGACGGTCCTAGGGATGATAAAAGGAAAGTTGATGAGAGTGGTGATGCGAATTCTATTTTTGGGTTGAGACAATGACCCGTGTGAGGTTTATTGAGTGTAAACCTGGTTACTGCAATATGCATCTGTGTGTAATCCTTTTTGCATGTGTGAGATTGCTCAATTCGGTTGTATGACTATATGTTGCATTTCAATGTGTTTGATATGTGCATTGACATGCATTGGAGTGATCTTATTACTTGGTGTAATTGGTTGCATGCATAGTGGGTTGATATCTATGGCGTCCTTTGTTTTGCTCTGTGAGAGGGTGTGGTAGTGAGAAGTTGGAGGGGTAGCCATTTTCTCCTTCATCTTTGTGAGTCTGTGTGGTTTGTGAGATTGTGTAAGGCAGCCCGTGAGGGTTATCTTCGTTATCTGTGTGAGCGTCTGTGTGAGTGTAGTGAAGTAATCAACTCTTTCTTTTATTCTCTTTGTGAGTGCCACTGTCACCCTTCCCTTTGTGGGATTTATCTTTTGTGGATTTTTTTAGCGTTAGTGTTTGGAGTAACTTTGTTGGTGCGTGGGTCAATTTAAATTGAACACTAACCTTTGTGGTCGCCGAAAGGTTTTGATTTGTCATAGTGGGATTGTGATGCATTTGCAGTGTGTTGGATGTCTTTTGGTAAGGTGGAGTATAGATGCCTAGGGGTACATTATGGTTTGTACTGTGGGATGTGAAGTGTGACATTTGGATCACGATGGAGATGTGATTAAATGTTTTCGAATCCTTTATCTGTGAAGAGACCCTAATCAGGTGGAGTGCGAGTGAGACACTTCTATCACTTCTATTAGGTGGAGACCCATTATCCACATTGGTTGGAAGAAGTGATGTGGTGATAAAGGGTTATCCCGATAACTTAGGATTTATAGAGACTTACCAGTTAGACATGAGTTGAGTGATTAATCTAGTGAGCATTGTGGGTGATGATGTGAGATATGTGTTCTCGAGGAGTGAGCAACACGAAATGGGATAGGATAAGTGTAGTGAGATCTTCGTGAGGTCATTTATGCATTTGTTGCGTATGTGTTGGCCTGTTGATTGACTTGGTGTTAATCTGTTGTTCTGTGTGAACATGGTTGAAAAGATCTGTGTTATCCTATATACGGTATCTCCATCGCATGTTTATTTGCTCTTGATTGATTGTTGTTATTATCTGCTTCTATTTGGGTGTTCTTGATCTTAGCTCTGGTGAGTATATGCAGCATGTATGGTATGTGTTTCAGTTTCGAAACACAAGGTAAGGTCTGTGATACCAATTTTATTGGTTACCTTGATTGTGCAAGTATAAACTGTGTGTTTTGTTTGCTTGCAGATTTATTGGGATCAAGGTGGAGATTTGTTGGGTTTTTTTATACCCAATAAATCCAAGCAATGATTTAAAACAGTTGTCGGATTATTTAACGACACCATAGACTTGACTCGACACGAAAACGACCTATACTTTTGGATGGCCCAAGTTTGGATTGGATGGTAATAGGTATTAGCCCATTTAGTTGGTTAGTTGTGGGAATTAATTGGTAGCCCATTAGTGATATCTTTGGCCCATTTTGGAGAGGAGTGTTTGGCCCAATTGAGTAACCTATTTTGTGTCCCATATATGTTGGTGTTCCAGCCGTGTGTTAGTGTGTGCGAGAGTGGAGAGAAGAGAGGTAAGGCAGCCGTGGGTTGTGAGGATGAGAGGCAACCGGGTTTGGTGAATTTCTTGGTGAGTTCCAACCATTGTTTCTACTCTTCTTCTTCCTCCCTATGTGGGCTTGCAATCACCACCACATCTCCTTTGTGGGGATGAAATCTTGGTGCAACCAAGTGTAGGAGTTTTGGGTTGAGCTTGAAGCCGTGTGGTGTCGTTTGGTTGTTTTCTGAGCCCGATTTTGGTTGATTGAAGCCCCCAAATTTCAACAATGTCCATCGGACCATGGCCTACTAAGCCCTTGTTTTGATTCACATTATTTTTAAAATATATTTTTCTCTCTTTTCTTTTCAACCACACATTCTTCAATAATATAATATTACACATAAATATAAATTTTTTCTTATATTTTAATCACGCATTCTCCATCAATGTATTATTTCAAAATACATTCTTAACATAACAGAGCCCTCTATTTATTTTCGCCGTGTTAGACGCGAAAATTGTGTCTCTATCTATCCCGACTGATACAATGAGACAAACGTGTCTCTCTTTTTCTCTTCTTCAGATAATTCATTGATTGCGATCAGCAACCACTGTCGAACTTGAGGTGCTCGAGCACTGCAAGTCGAGCACATTGACAGGAGTGAATGAACTCGAACCCATGTCGAGTACTGATTTATAGCCATCCATTGCTATTTCTTGCATCAAATTGTAACAATTCAACAAATTATTCTGTACAAGGAATGGCAAAAAAGAAGTAAATAGAGATGAACCAAAATGGAAACTGCGAAAGGGAAATGACATTACCTTATTTACATAGGAACAGCTGCCGATTGCATCTCTGAAGCTAGCAAATTGTAAAGGAAAACATTCATGAGCAGCGGATAATAAAGCCGAGGCCGAAATTATTGATGGCTTGAACTCGAGGAGCTTGATATCTGATATTCAATGATGACAGAGTGAGAAAAATAGCTAAAATCTTGTTAATTGTAGCGTTGACTACTCTATAGACTAACCATTTTGAGCTTTTAGTATAATCTCAGTGGCTCTGTTTTTCAATGCTTGCCTTGATGGTTGATCCTTAAATTTGAACAATGAGATAAAGAAATGGATAAAAGAAAAAGGACTGATAGAACGCATTCGCCATTTTAGAGCACCAAGGATCAACAACTCCATTCGCTCTATGGTGTGTGAATCAAAAATTATACCTCCATCATTCTGCCCAAAAGATTATACATTTCTAACATATAATCAATAAAAATCTTAACATAATTTTAATTCGACGTGCGAAAACGCAGAAATACCTGAATATCAGTAATAGAACACTCTTCTTTTCTCATCTTCAGTGCTAATGAAACGCAAGAAATCGCCAAAAGTCTCAAGATCCACGGCTTCCCTTCCTGCAAAACCAAGAATTCATTACATCTTTCACGATCGAAGTGGGATACAATTTTATAGGCTTACGTTGAAGGAATTTACCAGTATATATTGAGTAGAAAGGAGCCGATCCAGGTAATTGATGGCAAGATAAGATAAAAATGGATCAGAATTTTGAGAAAAATGTAACACCAAAGAAATGGTTTCGCGCCGAACCGAAACACGTACATCTGTTTCCTCAAGGAATGATTTTGAAGGCATGTGATCAGTCTCAATGAAAAAAAGTGTATCTGAATTTGGCAATGGATTTTCAAGGTCAAACTCAAACTCCATCGATGAACCTTTGAACCTCTCTCTTACTCTCTCTCTTCAATACATTGTTTTGTGGGTTTTTTCTTTTCTTTACCCTGGTGGGTTGGCGTGAGGGTGGTGAGCAGAGTGAAGTAAATGATAAAGAAGAAGAGATGAGCTGTCTGTGGTTTCAGTCCTCTTTACATTTCACATTGGGAAGGAAAAATATATACGTGGGGAAGACCGTAGAGTTTTAATCAGGTGCGCATGAGGACTACAGTTAAGAATTTACTTAACAAGTGTTGAAATGGCTGGAGGGAGGAAATATCATCACCAATGTGTTTTTTAGGGTACTCAATTTCATTGAAGACGGGGATGGAGCATGTGTTGTAGATCATTAGAACACGTGACTACAAACTATGATATTGAGAGTTCAAATCATCCCTAATTGCACAAAATCGACTCGAAGGAGTACATTTTCCTCAGAGGGATCAAATAGAGTAATGTTATTTAACATATTTGATGTTAAGTACCAATTTAGATGACAATTGTATGATATTAAGTAATAAATTTAATTATTCATATAATTGAACTTATCAAACGTAGCCAACTAGATTGATACTCTAGTACCATTAGTTTTAAATAGCATTATTAGTTCGAAAAATCTAAATTGTGTAGCGATCAGAAGCATCGATGATTCACGTGATTATGTAATTAGGAAAATCATTACTTTACGTTGGGTGTGGAAAGGGCTAAAGGTGGGGAAGGAGGAGAATTCCTCACCCCGGCAGCCCGGCTCTAACTGGGTTCAATCACTCTATATAACCAGCAGCTTTCCGGAGGCAGGCCGTCGGTTTATGATAGGAGACATTTATTATACTTTAATATCATTAATAAGACATTTTTCCATTATTTAAAATCAGACGTACGCAATATATGTTTTTCTCATAAATAAAGTTTTGCTATTTAATGCATTTACTTATGCTTGTAATCTATTTTCATATCATATCATTTGACTTATAATTATATTAAGGACGATATTCAATAATCAAATAATTTAAAAGCTTAAATTATTAAAGAGATATGGCTTGTATTTAATTAAATCACAACTTTAATATACCTCTATTATCTGTTGAATTCATAATTGTAGATAGGATAGATTTGAATACATATAATGGCTGATACAAGCTGACATTAATAATTATCGAAGATGGCCAATGAGGTGAGAACTACTTGATATGCACTTCATGTAGAGCACCACATGATAGGTCAGCCACCCCCTACAGGCTGTCTATCACTATGAGGCCCTTTACGTTCACATAGGCCGTCTACCACCACGAGGCCGTCTACCACCACGAGGCCGTCGACCCCCACGTGGTTGCCTACCTCCATGAGACCTTCTACGTCCACAAATGCCGTCTACCACCATGAGGACGTCGACCCTCATGAGGTTGCCTACCACCATGAGGTCCTCTACGTTCACATAGACTGTCAACCACCATGAGGTCGCCTATCACCATAGGGCCGTCGATCCTCATGAGGCTGCCTATGACCATGAGGCCCTCTACGTTCATATGAACCCTCACCACTATGAAGTCGTCAACCACTATGAGACCTCCTACCATCGTGAGGTCGTCAACCCCATGTGGCGCCTGCCACAATGAGGCCCTCTACGTTTATATAGACTGTCTTCATTATGAGGCCGACGCTATACTTAACCATACAAATAGTAATGAGTTGGACGGGAACCACTCAAGGGCAAAGGTGGGTACAACCAACCGCTTGAGAAGTGGGAGTCATTCCATCAGAACATGGGGGAAGTAGGAAGATTTACGTGAGACATGTGGCTCCTTTAATTGTTGAACGAGTGCATTGCATCATGTGCTTATAAATACCCCTAAGGTGAGAAATGTATGGCTCTCTTGAAACTCGAACTGTTTGAATTACAATTATACTTTTTTCTTACTTTCTTAAACCAACTACTGATTCTCACGTCGGAGATATAACGGGGGAGAAAGCTCCAACCTCAATTTGCAAGGAGTATTCACTGATCGGAACAGTCGGAACACCCTACACGTCAAAGAGAACGCGGAAGTTTATCTCGCTTCAATTTCAATGTCCAAAATTCGACTTTAGTTGGCAAAATGCAATTATAGCTGAAAACCATTTACAGCTTTATTTAAATCAATATAAGCAGTATTCAATTTTATTTATTTATTTTTTTATGTTATTCCTAATTTAGATTTCATCATCGTGTCATTATATGGCATATTTGGTACGGTTAGTTCTTTAATTATGATAAAGATCGATACATAATATGTTTCTAATTCTATTTACTTAAATTCAGTTTAACCTCTAATCGTCTTAGATTCCTTTACCATTATGGTTTTTAAAATAGATCGAGTTAAAATTTTCGTGTTCCTTCGAATCATGCTCACTATTCTACTTCAACTTTTTCATTATTTTACTTAATTCCCTTGTATTATTGATTCGAATAAAGTTATTGCAATGGGTACTCGCTTGTCCAATTTGTTTAACAATGTACAAAATTATGTAAAATGACTTTATCTCTATTAAAGATTGATCATAATATAAATAAAATATACCCGTAAAATATCAATGACCAAACCGTATATAAGCATCACTTTATGAACCCTCCTGGACTGTCAGAGAGGATTTGACACCCTTCTTGACAGGCCACTCACAACATGGGGGGTGGGGGGAATTTTTTTCTTTTTTAATTCATATGTGCCCCACATGGATCCCACCACAAATGTGAGAGGATGTCAACCAAAGTGTCAAATTTATTCTGGCAAAGTGGCATTTTCCTCACTTTATTGCAGTTTATGAGAAGTAAAACCAACAACAATAATGATGAATAAGTACCAACTCTTGCCCCCAGGGCACATCTTCAACCATAAAAGAGGAAGGTGGAAAAACTCTAGTTTTGCTTGAAACTGTCGTGCCAAGAGTTCGAATTCTAAAATATGGATTTGACCATTGGGTAAATGCAAGTGTACAAGCAGTCTTCCACACTGTACCCTTGGAGGCATAACCTGCGATTTACCTCATTCACTATGGCACAGGGTATGGCAGGTGGGGGCCGTCAAGGATGCTACTCATAAGAATAAGTACCAACTCTTAATAAAATTTTGCAAGACATTAAAGGGGGTTTCTGATAAATATACTTATTGTGACTGTAATTTAAAAAATAATAATAAATTCATGGTTTAAAATTAATTTATTCTTCAAAAATAAGAGTTTTAAAATGTTACTCTTTAACTAATGTAAATTATATTATTTATTAAAGTTTTCCTTCGATAGCAAATAAACATTTTACATAGTTTTATTTTCATAATTAATGAATATATATCATGTTTCTACTTTTTGTTATCGTATCGATACTTTTGCTGATAAGTTGGCTAGTATATACTTAGCCTCTATTTGGTAGGGATTAAAATAAAATTTTTAGTAAAATTTCATAGAAGTTGATCAAATGTGTGCTTGAAAAATTGTGAAATTCATAAAATATATTGTTAAAATTAATTTTTAATTTTAATCGACGCCAAACAAGAGCTTAAGCAGTTATTGGACATCATCCCAATAATTTCATGTATCCCTCTTTAGATTACACAGTAGTTAAAGAAACAAAGGTCAGTTGATCACTACAAAGTGGGGCTCACACTTTTTCAATCTTGGACATGTCCAAAGGCAAGTACAAACTTTAAATCTTTTTGGTTCACATAAAAAATTGGAAAATCCACTTCCCCAATTCTAACAAACGAAACCCAACAAATTTTGTACAGTACAGAATTGTAATTTCAGAGTGACAGCTTGGTTTCGTGTCCTCAAATGTATGACCACCTTCCTGCAATGAGTTAAATCCATCAATGACCATATATTTTTATATTTGATGTCATCATTGTCATTTAATTCGATTTTATTTCATTATGATACCCAACTTTATATTTAGTGTCATCATATCCATCCAATTTCATATAAAATTTCACCATGATCATCCAATTTCATATAACATTTCACCATAACCACCCAATTTCATATAACATTTCATCATGACCGTTCCAACATTTTTTCACCATTTTCATTAATTTTAAAAAAGGGTAAAACGGTAACTTTTGCATTATATATATATAATAAATTTAAAAAAAATTAAAAAAAAACACTATTTTAAAAAAAAGTTGTTTAAAAATAAAATAAAATAAAACCCTATTTTAAAATAAACCTTTTTAAAATTAATTTATATTAATTTTATTATATATATATAATACAAAGTTACCGTTTTATTTCTTTTAAAATTAGTGAAAATAGTAAAAAGAAATGGGATGGTTATGATGAAATGTTATATGAAATTAGATGGTTATGATGAAACAATATGAAATTGGGTAGTGATGTTGAAATAAAATTAAATTGGATGGCTATGATGTCACTAAACAAAGAGTTGAGTGACTATCGGTGAATTTAACCCTCTACAATAGCAACATTATGAATAGGACAAAAACAATTGCAATTTCGATGCAGAAATGTCTTTGTTAGGCGATCAGTAGCTTGTAGTGCAATTATAAGCATACGACTTTTATGGGTTTAGTGTAAACCAAAGTCAATGTGAAAAAATGACTTGCACTGTTAGTTTAGAATTAGATAATGAAGAGCTTTTAACATGTGAATCGAGGAATGTGAAAGGGGAGACAAGGTTCACATTATGCAATCTAAGCCCCCGTTTGAACGCGGTGTGTCTGATGCACATTATTGAGAAGAAAATACATTTTATGATGTGATGTAATGTGATGAAAAATATGTAGTTAAAAAATAAGTACAGTCAAAGATGCACAACACATTCACTCTAGGCTGCGAATCAAAACGGAGGCTGACATAAAAAAAATTAATCTTTGCCCTTTCTTGAGTTATGTAAACATGCATAAATTTGCAGCAGGATCGATTGAGTGCATCTAAAGCTGCATGTAAGTGAATAGAAAATAGCAAAGATGTACAGTGTGCTCAGAAAAATAAAACTTAATTAACAAAATGTTTAAATTGGACCTCAAAAACCTTCTTTTGTCATATACCATGCTTCCCAAAATTTGATAAGCTATTTATGTGTTACATTTGACAAAAATAAGCAGCCTAAGCCTTGGAATTAAGCAAAATGGTTAGAATCTTTTCCTTTTATCTATTGCTAAAAAATTGATTTTGACAAATTTATTCCAAGATTTACATTTGAGTCATTAAACAATATACATCATTTAATAATGATACTTCTTTTTTTTTTTTTGGAAACTAATAATGATTGATTTTTAATATCAACGCTAGTGAATCAAATAAATTACGAGATCAAATATTTCCTTATCTTCGTATATCTAATTTGAACTTCACCTACGTAGCTAATTGGTGAATAAGATTAGCTAGGTAATTGATGAACTGAAAGTCTGAAACTATTTCGTTAGTATGACATTACTTCACGAGTGTATGAACTACATATTTTAAATTATTTCAGCATGCGAGATATATACTGTTCATTCATATTACGTAAATGTAATTATTTTATATGCATCATAAATAAAAGGGAAAATGCAATTGTACAGTTATTAAGAGCTGTAAATTGTACAGCCCTCTCACATGAATGTGAGGCCCACTAATTAATTAATTAGTGGCCCCACATTCATGTGAGAGGACGGTAAAATTTACAGCCTTTAATGACTGCAAATGTAGCAGTTCTCTAAATCAAATTGACCTCCTAACTCGATGATCGAACAGCTTTTGTTGGGCAATCTAAACCCCACTCCCTTGTGTGTTGTGTTGCAAGTTTGTCGTGGATCGATGATGCCAAAAAAAAAACAAAAAAAATTTAAGATTTATGCATATTCGAAGATATCTTGATCTCCATTCAAAATTTCCATGACATTTGATTTCCCAACCTTCAATTTCTTCATAATCAAATTTTTAAATATAAATTCCCGAACTCCCTGTTTGACATTCTTTTATTTAGTTTAATTTATTTCTCATACTCATTTCCAATCACACATTCACTTAATAAAATGTTCTATTTCTACTTTTTAATCATACATTCTTTAAAAAATTCTATTCAAAATATTTTTTTTTTTACAATTAAGGGCCACCAAACAGGGGCTAAATAAACTTGTTAAAACATCACATTAAACGACCGGTGGAAATATTTTATATATGAAAACTATAAAATAATCGTTTTTCACTTCGAATATTTGATGTGTGCTAGTCAATTTTGTGGTAAAGCAACCATTTATTATGTTCATATTTGTGCTCTTTGTATGCACCTACTTTTGACCTAATTCACCAATCCATTAAATATTTTGACTTGGCAAAGACTAGAAACGAAAGAAAGAAAAATGTGCCCAAAAAAAATGTGTTCATTCTCAAAAAATAAAAAAAAAAAAAA